TGGTTTTTTACACCTGTTAACAGTGGGTGTGGCTGAAACACCTGAACTCAATAATTTATGGGGTGTCCAAATACTTGACCACATAGCACAGCACAGGTGGGATACGTCTAGCCAGTGCCTTTACAAGCTACAGGTCATGGGACATTACTAGCCTATCCAAGTACAAAAGTAAATGGGTAAAGAAAAAAAACAACGCTACCAGGCGGCGGATTGTGTGGGGAGTGGTGGAGGCGTTAATAAGGGCTCATCGTTGGCAGATCCCGTCAGCGATAACATCTCTCCCTCTCAAGGCCAAAATGTGTGTATTTGACCAAAAGCAGGCCGCCCACATGCATGTTATGCAAGAAGAATTCAGATGGCTTGCTCCCAGTGGAAGTTCTTTCCAGTGATAACACAATAATAAGGCTACTTTAAAGAGAGCATCTCCTCTTTCTTTGCAAATGGCGTTACACGGGTGCAAATTATCTGTGAAACTATTGTTTTCCATTCAGCAATGTGCGCCGTGTTTTGGCTAATTGACTGTGAATGCATTGGTTTATAACAGGCTCTGCTGAGCAAACACTACCCAAACAAGTCCTTTGAGAATTAAGAAGATCAACAAATTAGTCAGTTCAAAGGCATTTCAGGATTGTAAGGCAAATAAGGAAGGAACAATGGTGTCTAGTGGAACGGTCAGACATGGTAAGAAAGCAGTCATTGCTGAAACGACAAGCCCAGTGTCTTCTGGGACACGATGCTCTCTGTGTGGGCTTTCTTCATGCAGAACCGAAACATTTGAACTTTGTAAATGACGGGGTAAATATAACAAATAGGTTTTTCCCTGTCGGAGCAGCGCAATCACCCAGCTGCATATACCCTTGCTATACTCGATCAAATTCAGGAGCCTATGCAAAGGAGGTCTAGTGCAACAATTTTTTTTTATGGCACTCCGCATTCAAAGTAATTTGTTCTAGAGGAGTGCGGAGAGATAAAGAAAAGCCTGGGCTCTGACTCAGGGCAAACTTTTGCATTGTGTGCCAAGTGCGATTTCCCGGAGAGCACGGAGAGGAGACGGGGTGGCGCACGGTACGGTTCGGTTCACAGATCACTGAGTTTAATTAGGCCTGATGTGTGCCGCCGAGGGGGTCTCCAGAACACTGGGCCACATTCTACTCACATTCCATCTTTCAGAGAGAGAAGGGAAAGGATGGATGGGTGGGTGGATAGAAGGATGGATGGATAGGGTGATTGGAAAAGGGGTGAATTGAGGAGAAACGTAAAAGGTTCATGCAGAACAAAGAGCTTCTTGGGAGTTGTTTGCAGTGGTGGCTCCTGCCAAATCTCTCAGGTGGGGCAATGATGCCTGTTGCCATTTGGCATAAACAGAGATTATCTTTAAGCTACATATTTTACAGTGTTTGTGTACAGCTATGTCCAAGACTTCATTGTAAATGTCTTCTTGAAAATTGTTTTGGTTCTACAATGACTGAACAATCAAGTGTGGTCATCAACAGATATTGTCATCTATCAGTTTGCCCTCACAAATACCTTTGAACATGAACAGAGACCATTAACCTTACCATTAATCAAATCAATTTAAATACATTTTCTGCTCTCACAATGCTTCCAGTCTTCATCAGATACCATTTTATTTTATTTGCAGCAAATCTATTCTATCCATTTATTTTGTAGCTAGTTGTGTGATGATTTGCATGTAGGATAGCCTAAAAGTGTTACTACAGTTACAATGCACATCACATAGTAACCACTAGATGGCGAATAGATTGTAGTTATGGGGCATATTCAATCTCAAAACGGTGCCCAAAAAAATTGCTTTGGTTTCCGGGTCGAACGACAAATGCATTCCTCTTCAAGCTGCTGCAGCTTGGTTGTACGCAACAATTGAAGACTTTAATACTTCAAAATACAACTTCTAAACATGTATATAAATCCATTTAATCAGGCTTCAAAAATTCTTTGACAAGGGAGCCAAGACCTTCTCAGCTGCCATACTTGCAATGCTTGCATGACACAACAGTGTTCAACGCACCACCATTTCCATTTAAATAAACGTTTTGTCAGGGCTAAATGCAGCCCATGTAACGCATAATGAAAGCATGTTACTGCTAGCATTTCTGGAATCCATACAAATTGCATTCCAGCACCTATGGTTAGAAATGCATCAAACGCATAACTATGAGAGTCTATCAGAGCAATCTGGGCGATTTTTAACCAGACCAGGGGAAGTATTATACAGAACACAATTTGACACTTATTAGACTATGATATTCAGAAGCAGGTCAAGCTGTCTAGAACAGTCACAGCTAGTGGAACACTGTGGTAGAATGTGATAGAAAAATTTCCTTCCTTTTCCTCTTTGGTGGTGCATCGCCCCTGAGAAACACACCGTCCCTGTTTTTTTGCCTAATTGATTGCTTCTGCCACCTTCTTAAAGGAAGGGTTGGGTCTTGGCTGATGAAGCCCATTCCTGTCAGGAAGAGGAGAAAAAAAATCACCTGCTTGTGCTTCTGTTTGTGGCAGTAGTTTGTCAAAATGTCTACATAGTCTCAAAATAACTTTATGTTGAAATAATGACGTATTTTCTTGAAAATTTGAAATAAATAATATTTTTGTGAACTGAATAGGTCATGAAATAAGACTTACTTTTTGAGATAATGACTCTGTGGACATAGTGATCATTAGTTCCTTATTTTAGGTCCAAATTTTAAGAAAACCATTATTTCAACATTGTCATTATTCCAAAGTAGCAAGCCAGAATTTTGAGACAATAATTAATTCATTGTTTCAAGATACAAAGACATATTTTGATTGAGGCCATTTTTCTCCTCTACCTACTGGAAATCGACTTTCAAACTGCAAAAATGATAGATTTGCAGGTAAAAATGTCTTAAACGTAGTGAATATATGTAATATTTTTCATTCTGAGACTACCATACGAATATCATAAGATTTTTCAACCTATTTAGAAAGTTTTGTTATTTTCATCTGCAGAACGTGTCTTATTGCATTGTCAGATAATCCTACTTGTTTCAATGCAGTAATACTGCAGATATTTTCGCAGAAATAAGAGGAACTTTGAGAAATCATGCTTAAAACGAGCAAAAATATGTCAATTGAATGACACTTCCACTTGATAAACTGACTAAAAACAAGTGAGAGATGGGTTGAAAAGTCCTACAATCTTTTTACAACAGTCTCAAACTAAGAAAGGATACATTTACTTGATTTAAGATGTTTTCACTTGCCAAGATATCGTTTATGGCAGTGCATAAATCCACCATTTCTGGGTAAATGGAAAAATGTGTCGCCGAACCATTTTCTTAAATGTAGAAGCATCCAGTCAGCTCAAGTAAATCAATAGCACCCTGCCACTGTTTTTAACAGATTGTATTTTTTTTTTCAAAAAGAAACATTTGCTCAACGCTCAAAGTGTCGCATTTTTACATAAAGCTGACCTCTGTTGTTGATTGGTGAAGCTGCGTGTCATAGCCATGTCTCGGCCGTATTTCTAGTTGACACCTTATCTGTCCTCTGGAGTGGGTGACTGTCTGTTTTGGGTGTAGCAAGCCTAAATCAAACTGAAACTGTGGAGTTTATGAAGTGCTGTCAGCCTTGCCAGCCTTGGGGAGGAGGGGGGGGGGATGGGGTGCACAAGATCCAGTCAATGCTCTCATTAGGATAAAAGGTTACTGTCTCTTGAAGAAGCCGTAGTCTCTCAAGTGCGTTTAATTAGCCGGTCAAGTGGAAATGAGACGTAACGAAAAGCTTAAATGTACGTTGTTCTATACTCATTTCCTTTATTGTTGCATAAATCCTCCTGAAAAGCCCTCTGGTATATTTAAAAGCCGTGTGCTTAGAGGGTGACTCACCTACAGAAGACTGCAGCTTACTGTTTAGCACATCCTTTGTTTTTTTCAGAGCTGGATTCTTTTCAGCTGAGCGTTTTCCAAATTCAATATCATAATCACCACTCCACACGGAGCCAAAGGCGCTTTCCATCATCCCAACGGTTGCTGGAGGACTCTCAAACCCAGAGATGTAGAGAGAGGTGGACAGGCGAGAGCTAATGATACAAATCCTTCGCCTGTTGATATCGAAGAGCACATAACGAAGACTAAAAAGGTTGCAGCGATGTATGAATGTCTGTGTTCATTAGTGCCAGTGAAGATGCACATTTATTTGGATTGCTAATCAAAGAAAAAATAGGAGAGCTGTGACTCCAGGGGGTCACTGTTATGAATGATCATTAGCCAAAGAATCCTAATCCTGGGAACAGCTAATCCTAATGTTTTGCTCATCTTGGACAGGAACAACAGAGAACATGGTCCGTTAAAGCCGTCACGCATGTTTATCGCGGCCTCTACTGTAAATCCAGCCAGTTAATCAGCGTCTTGCTCTGGGCATGTGCAGACGCTCTCCTCTGTCTTCTCTGTCAGGCCTGCTAATGAACTTCAGCAGGCTAATTAAGCAGCAGAGTGCGATTAGCTCTGTGGTTAGCTTGGAGAGAAGCTGGTGTGTCCACTGAACTCTGGTCACTGCCTCTCTCCAGGTCAGTAAACACTTTCTTGTCTCGGCAGGACAGTTTGTACGGTACCCATTGTTGCAGTGTAGCCGAGGCCGGGGGACGCACTAGCGGGAGAAACAGCAAAACTAATTATCCTCCCGTTCTCTGCTGCTGGGAGCCACGCAAGGAGCCTGTACGTCTCTTCCCCATGCGCCGAAAGCTCTCACTGCTCTCATTCACCGGGATAAAAATGGGAATAAAAAAAGAAAAAAGCACGCGTCTGCTCTTCCTTGAAGTCATTTCAGAAACATTTATAATCTCTTTAGAAAGAAGTGTTGGGGGGTGGCGAGGGAGTGTATTGGAGGGGGGGGTGATATCGCAGCGGTTGTTATTTCCCATTCTCCCACCAGAAACGCTTCAGAAAGGAAGCAAAAAGGAACAAAGAGACGCCAGGGAGCGAGACTGAGAGCGAATCCGCTGATTAAATCAAGACGGCATGGCCCCTCAGACGGTGGCCTGCCTCGGAGGTCCCTGCAAAGAGGGCCAGGACAGGTGGGCCGTTGAGTGACGCAGTGGCACGGGGAGCTGGGCTCCTTCTGTTCTCTAGGGCTGAGATCCTTCAGGTACCTCTTAATTAGCAGCTCATTAAATCGAGAGCGGCTGAAGAAAAAACAAATGTAGCCGGAATGATTACCTAAATAAGGAGCTGAATTTTGTAATTAAGATCTGAGGAGGAGAGGAGGGGTAATGAGAAAGCAGGGGAGGATACTGGAGGAGATGGCCACACCTGGACTGTCTGTTGGCTGAACCCCTGGTGGACTTTCAGGTGGCGGCGTCCCACCAGAGGGCCAATTTAGAGTGGCTAAGTGCGGGTGCGCGCAAACTCCCAAATAGCAGAGCCCGACTCTGTAGATTGTTTACCGGGGTAACTATGATCTAATCAAGTTTCCCTGTTGGAGCCACTTCAATGAGCGGGTGCTGAGTGTGGGACAGAAATAGAGAATGCTCCACAGAATAGAAACTCACCGCAAGCAGAAAAAACTGGGGATGAAAAAAGCAGGGTACCTCATCTAGTGGGAAATCACTGCTGGGAGGCAGCAGAGAGGCTGGCTATCTCGCAGGTTCTCGTGATTCATAAACAAGCCTGGCGAAAAGAGGCTTTGATTTAATCTCAGTCAATGTCAGAAGATTTGCGACACTTGATGGGAGAGATACAGTGGACTGTGTAGCACTTAACCCGCCTGCCATGCCGGAGGATTCACTCCAGCTCTCTGACTGGCAGTGCGATTCTCCGGCAGCCAGGCTGTCATCTGACTCGCATAGACTACACTGAGTCTCATTAGAAGTACGAAGAGGAAGACCCTGGCAGTTCTTCCTGCCTAGAATCTTCCCCTGTCTCCGCCTTACCTGAAGTCTGAAGGGGCTTCCAGGGATGCTAAGAGAAAGAAGCGGGGAAAGGCGGGTATCTTTGCCGGCCGGATGAAGGAGAATGGAATGATGCGAAAAGCAGATCCAGCACATCATTGACGGAGGAGAGGAAAGCTTTGGCTTTGGCTCAGGGGGTGTGTTTGTCTTTCTCAGATCAATAGCCCCTCCGCTGAAGCTCTGAAAGACAATTTATGAGCCATAAAGGACATGGGCGATGCTTTCGTTCTACTCTTTCTCACTTTCATTCTCTCCGTATGTGTGTGCGTCTTTTTCAGGGTTCTCTCTCCTTCTCTTTCTTTTGCATCCTCTCCAATCTTCCTTTCTCTCTCCCTTTCTGTCTGTCTGTCTCTCCCTCTCTCTCTCTCTCTCTTTTGCCAGCTGTGCTCAGGGGCATAGGGTGATGAGGGCTCTCTCGTGCCTTTCCAGATGGTTCACTGAGCAACAGCTGCCACCGGGTGGGGGGAGAGGGGGAGCTAGGGGGGTCCATGAGGAATGATTACAGTTTCCTGAAGCGGGCAGGTAAAAATGACAGAAGGAAAGAAGGAAGGAAAGAAAGAAAGAAAGAAAGAAAGAAAGAAAGAGAAAACATAATCAGTTGTCAGGGCAAGGGTCATTTTCAGCAGCTTGCTACAGTGGCTCATTACTGTCCAGCCATAGTTGTGCTGGAGCTCGTGCACAGTGCAAGATGTAATAGTCCGGGCACTGACCTTGTTATGGGAGGGCAAGAGGTGTCATTTTCGGAGGGTGAAGGTGAGTGCAGCCATTAGCGGGCCACTGCGCACAAATTAATTATAACCATATGCAGCTCCATAAATGATAAATGCTCCAATGTAAGTGTATGCAAGTGTTGTCTGCCTGTGTTACTATGAATAAGAAGATTTGATATGCAGCTGAATTATAAATGAAGAGCATGGGGCTCTAGATTGCTCAGATTGATGACCTTGTTTTTGCCGGCCGGGCGAGGCCTTCTACGGGGACTTCCATCTTTGAATAAGCAGAAGGGCACTTTGATCTCATCCTTTCAGTGATTGAAGTGGAACACAATAAGTGCCAGTGCTATAATGGTGATACAACGTTCTTTCCTTTGTCCGAAAGGACTGTTCGTCAAGACTTATGACATCTCTAATGTTTTCAGATGCTGCTACGGCTGCTTTATGGCTGCTCCAACAGGTTCTGTAGTAATACTGCTGCTACACTCTTAAATATAAAGGTTCCCAAATGGTTCCTGGCTTCTGTTCTGGGAAAAATCTTTAATTGGTATAGAGCCTTAACTTATTTGGATGTTTTTTTTTGTGGGTAGGTTAGAGCAGTTAATCAGAGGTAAAGCAGAGGACCAAAAGCTTATAAAAGGCAAAAAATCACAATAAATTAGCAAGAAAAAAAGGTATAGTACTCCAACGAGCAAACATGGATGTACCAGTATTGCATACCAGGGAGTATTGGCCCACTTCAAATACAATGCAACCATCTGACAGATCCTCCCTTTGTTGCGCCGCATTATAACCCTCGCACTGCTCACGATTTCACCCCTGATGGGCCCCACTGCTTGCGCTAAATTATCTCCTACACATGTTAATACAAGGGCAGGGAGGTCCACTTACAGAGGCATTTTACTATGACCTTTGGGAGGAGGTGAAGTGAGAGTTAGAGGAGACTGGCAGGAACAGAATCAGCTTGAACTCAGTGTCACCAATGAGCTCAGATTCAGAAAAAGGAACAGCCCTTGTCGTCTTCTACAGCAGTGGTTCCCAACCCTGCTTCTGGAGTACTTGTGCTCTGCATATTTAGGGCCAGATATATGTATGTGTGCCAGCGCAAAGCTAAATGTGCAAAGCTGTACCTACTAACCACAGCTCGTTAGGCGCAGGGCTTAAAAGATGCAGAGACATAATGGAGTCATCAGCAAACTCAAGACAAAAAAAGAAACTTCAGTGACAAAGAAATTGCAGTGTTAATAAATGAAGTTCATTTTTTTGCACCATCCTCTCATGTTATGTGCAGTTCTTCCTTAAATGTATGAGCAAACGCGTAACTTGCATATGAACAATAAGTTGCACATTTAGGCTTGTGCACCTTTATACATGCACTTACCATGTAGGTGCACTTTGTAGTTCTACAATTACACACTGTAGTCCATCTGTTTCTCTGCATACTTTGTTAGCCTGTTCTTTAATGGTCAGGACTCCCACAGGACCACCAAAGAGGTATTATTTGGGTGCTGGACCATTCTCAACATTCAACTCATACCAGCGCAACACACACTAACCACATCAGTGTCACTACAGTGCTGAGAATGGTCCACCATCCAAATAATACCTGCTCTGTGGTGGTCCTGTGGGGGTCCTGACCATTAAAGAACAAGGTAAAAGGGGGCTAACAAAGTATGTGGAGAAACAGATGGACTACAGTCTGTAACTGTATAACTACAAAGTGCACCTATATGGTAAATAGAGCTGATAAAATGGAGCAAGAAGGAGGTGATTTTACTGTTATGGCTGATTGGTGTACGTAACACATGACCAGAATACATTTGATTTGCACCTGAAACTGGTGTAAAAGGCTTGTAAACACTTGGCTTGGATGTGTTGGAGTAGGGAAAACTCCAAAAACCCTGCAGGACAGTGTTGCTCCAGGACCAGGGTGGGGAACCACTGTTTTACAGCACATTTCTCTTTTCACCCCACATCCAAAGTCACCAGATTTCCTGTCTGCTTTGAACAAGGCCTGCTTTCTTCCTCCATGTGTGGGAAAAATGGAGCAAGTAGTGGAGGGGCTCGGAGGGAGAGCGAGAGCCAGAGAGGCCGGCACAAGGAGATGGAAGGAGCCAGCATGCCTCCGTGCATGACAATGAGGAGGCCATTCAATTAGCAGCAGTTTATGGCCCCTGACGTTGATTACCTCAGACAGGCCGGCAGATCCTGGCCCCCACGCTGATTAAAATAAGCGCAAGCAAGAGCAGGGCAGCACAGAACTATGGGAACTATTAGGTTCTTCCTTTCAGAAGTCGTCATGGGGACACAGGCAGTCTGCCACATTTTTGTGGCCTCGTCCCCGGTTTGCACTCGTTACGTTTGAAGACTGTACCATGGCAAAGATGGGATACTGCAATATAAAGGTGTCTCTTGGACCCCTAGCTTTGCTACAGTTTAAATTTTGGAGGCGTCATGTCATTTTTGGACAGTTAAAAAGTCATAATATCATAATGGACATCATAATAGAAGCAGTATAACGTTTACCGTTTCCTGACAGGTTTCTGTATTCTATGCGGATGATGGAATTTGTCACGGATGATATTTGAGGATGATGGTCCAGTTAGGCGCGCGTCACGCTTAATGGCTTTCAGCACGAGAGGCTCGGCGCCAGCCGCATTGGGACGGCTATTCATCATATTGACACTTACATTATTTGTCATCATGATAGATCATCTATTAATTTGTTAAGCCACAGCACTCCCTGCTCGGTAACGGCGGATGGACGCTTGTTGCAAAAGACTGGCACGCTTTAAAGGGCATTTTAATTGAAGGTTTTTCATTAAGATTGCACATGAGACGCTGCCAAAAATCCATCATAAAGCCCCCTGACAGGCTTCCTATTTAAATACTGATATCTCATTTAAAGTTAGCAAGCTGGCAAAGGGACAGACGGGGCAGGTAAAGTTACTGGAACATCAGAGCGAGCGAGTGAGTGAGTGAGAGAGAGAGCAGTTGGGTGTATGTGTAGGTGTTTGTGTCTGTCTGTTTTCCTTTCTTTCACTCCAGGCAAAATACTTGTCAGACCCCGGGCTGCATAATTGCACGCGCACAAAAATAAACACTGACATTAACGTTGCAAAGGCCAGCCGGTGCAGAGCGCCGTATCTCTGGATCTCGTCTCCAGCTAAAAAGGCCGCTGACGGACAGGTTTGACGTCCAGCGAGGGAAACAGGGAGGGGAGAATGACGAGGACACAGGCCTCTTTAATCACATCACTCTCTGCTGCCAGCTTTGTTTTTTATTTATTCTACCTCTTTCATTTTTTCCTGACTTAATTTATCCCAAAAGCCACTGACCCACTCAATTAAATTTCAGTCTGGAGGTTTTGCCCGTTGTGCCTTTTTCTTGCGAAAGGCAGACGAAGAGACAAAT